TCCTACATCTAACATGTACGCAAACACGGTTTTCCTAAACAGTTTCACTTCTTCTTCTTCTTCTTCAATCAATACACTCTTAATACTTTCAACAGCCTTCACTGGATTGCAGAAACTACTAACTCTCTTGTCGTCTCTTGCCTCCAGAACTTCCGCATTACAATAACGCTTATATGCCTAGTACAATACATAATTACATGTTAACACCTCCAATCATGACACTATAGTCAGTTTTTTGCATTTATTTATATCATTAAAGGTGCACAATAAGTGAATTTCATGTTTTCATGCTTACTGCAGTTTCCAAGTAACACCACACACACCAGGTTCCCTAAAAATACCTTAAAATTGTTTACTCTTAACAAATAACAAACATGACATACACCACATGCAAACACTACTTGCAATGATCTATCACACTAAAACAACTAATATTTGCAATAATACAGTTCAATGCACAAATTTACTTACCTTAATTTTCAATTTCCTCAATGCACAAATTTATTTAGCTCAATTTACAATTTCAACAACCAAAACTTTGATTACATGCAGTTAAAGTCATATTTCCAAATGACTTGGCCACACGTACTTCAACCCCTCTTAAAGGAAACAATACGCGCATCAAACAACCAAAATATACATTATAACACATAAAAAATACAATGATTCAAACCACACATTCAATTCTATCCAGTTCACTGCACACAACAAATACATCCAACAAATACACACATTTACTCCGATCTATCACACTAAATCAAACACTACGTGCAATAATACATTTCAATGCACACAATTACTTTGCTCAAATTGAAAATTTAAACAACCACAACTTAGATTAAGTGCAGTGAAAGCCATATTCCAATACATATTTCCAAATTACTCAACCACATTGACTTCAATCCATCCTACACCTAACAATACACGCATTAAACAACAACAATATACGCGCATTTCCAAACGACATTAATGCATACATTCGATTTGCATATATAATGATTTCACTAACATAAATGTTCATTAAAACACTGCATTGAAACCACAATACCACAATCATAACCAGTCCATGTATTGTTCAATTACTAATCACAGAATAACTTCACGAACAAAAAAGTGATAAAAACTCACCACGCCATTGATTTTGACGATTTCATAGTCCAATTCATCGTTGTTTCGTTGCAAGTTCCCCCTTTTCCTCACCATCTTTCACCTTCGTTCGTCTGCTCTATCGTTTATGAGTGTCGCCTCTCGATTTTACCAAATTGGCTTCATCACTTTCATTAATGCAATGTAGTTTTAGCATTTAACTCCTTCCATAATTCAAACTCAGTAAAAAGCCGCTCCGCCGAAATAACCACTCTGCCCAATGACTTGGAGTTGAGCCTTTCCTTTTCAATTTCTATTTTTTCAATGCACATTTGTTTCCTTTTTGGGAGTACTTTCGTACTTTCATCATTCGGGCAATTTTTTCCGGTTTTTGGTCTCACGACCGAATAAAAAGAACTGAGGTCATAGATTAGGAATTCTACCTAGTTTTGGTAATATATCGGAAAATTTCCCAAAAAATTATCGTTCTATCAAATTAGTTGCTTTATTTCTCCATATCACGTTTCTATAAATTTATATACTATCATTGTTTTATTTTCAAATAGGACTCATTCATTCCTATCACTCCTATTTGAAGAAGTTTTAATAACCTTATTCTTTTAATAAAATTAAATTAGTCCTATTTGGGAAAAATACTTTTAGTTTTTTTAACCTTGTGTATGTTTTAGTCCTATATCGAGCAATTGCTAATTCAAATCTTTGGAAGATTAGGCTTTTACACAAACTTCAAGAGTATAATATTATTTATTAATGTAGAAAAAATGTAAAAAGTATGAGAATGATAAAAAGTATAAATAAAACATACAAATATATATATGTATGGTTAAGTTGTTGTGTAGTTTTAAATAAAAAACTTACCCAAATAAAAAAAGTGGTAGCAAATATTTAAGTATGTACTAAAACCAAAGTGTTAGATGAGTTTTGTTCGATTTATTTTCTAAATAGTGCAATAATGAAAATATAGAATTAGTACGTGGTCCATATATAGAGTTATTCTAGAAAGAAAGGGTTATTTTGTTTTTTAAACCCTCGAAAGCAAACCAACAAAATTAATGGGACAAATGACGGGGACATTTGTCAGGTTTTATTAAAACTAAAAGAGAAATAGTTCATGAACTGAACTGAAGCAGTAAAATATTATTAATTATTTGCGGTAATAATAATTGACTTATACAGTATACATCATTGAAACTGAAGTAGTAATAGTACACTTTACATCAAACCAACAGGGCTCAATCTCAATCAACAAATAAACAAAAGCACGACCAAAATAAAAACAAAAGCAATTTTAACTAACATGCAGCTCCTAGCTAGCTAGCTAGCCTCTCTCTGCTCATTTTTTCCGAACTGGTCAACGGTCTTCGGCTCGCTCAACTCAGTCCATTTTGTTCCCACAATGCGAGGCAAAGCTAGCTAGCTAGTCATTACACCAAGAAACATACATAAAGATGATCATGTTGTGCACATACTACTTTAGTAATGGCATGTAAGGTAAATTTATGGTTGGGGAATTTGAGGAGTCAGAGGGGGGAAGAATGGGTATGGAGGAAGAGTTGGGAATGGTTTCTTTACTAGTGGTGGCAATGGCTTGTAAATGGGAATAAAGGGTGGCAATGTCTTTACTATTGGAGGAAAGGATATGGGTGGTTTGGGGAATGGCTTGTAGATGGGAAATGGATGAGGCAATGTCTTCACTATTGGAGGAAATGGAGGGAATGTCTTTGTTATTGGAGGAAAGGAAATTGGTGGTTTTGGGATTGGCTTGTAGATGGGAAACGGAGGAGGCAATGGCTTTACAATGGGAGGAATGTAAATTGGTGGTTTTGATATTGGGTTGTAGATGGGAACAGGAGGAGGAAGTGGCTTTACAATTGGAGGAATGTAAATTGGTGGATGCGGTTTTGGCTTGTAGATGGGGATGGGAGGAGGCAATGGCTTTGGTTTTGGCTTATAGATGGGAATGGAAGGTGGGAATGGCTTTATAATGGGAGGAAGTGGCTTTACAACAGGTGGGATATATGCTGGAGTCGGTGGTGGAAGTGGCTTTACAATTGGTGGAATATAAACTGGTGGCTTGGGTTTTGGTGTATACGTGGGAACTGGGGGTGGAAGCGGCTTTACCGGTGGAATGTAAACTGGTGGTTTGGGTTTTGGTGTGTATGTCGGAACTGGTGGTGGCAATGGCTTTACAGGCGGAATGTAAACGGGTGGTTTTGGCTTTGGATGGTATGTTGGAACAGGAGGTGGAAGCGGTTTCACAGGTGGAATGTAAGTTGGTGGCTTAGGCTTGTAAATGGGAGTCGGGGGTGGAAGCGGCTTTACAGGCGGAACATAAACTGGTGGTTTCGGTTTTGGTTTGTATACGGGAACTGGGGATGGAATGTGAACCGGTGGCTTTGGCTTGTATACAGGAACGGGGGATGGAATGTGAACTGGCGGCTTTGGCTTGTATACAGGAACGGGGGATGGAATGTGAACTGGCGGCTTTGGCTTGTATACAGGAGCGGGGGATGGAATGTGAACTGGCGGCTTTGGCTTGTATTCGGGAACTGGGGACGGAATGTGAACCGGCGGCTTTGGCTTGTATACTGGGACTGGGGGTGGAATGTGAACTGGCGGCTTTGGCTTGTATACAGGAACAGGTGGAATATAAACCGGTGGTTTTGGCTTTGGCTTTGGCTTGTATTCAGGGGTTGGAGGTGGAATCGGCTTAGTTGCAGGCGGAACATAAACGGGTGGCTTAGGTTTTGGAGTGTATTTTGGAGCAGGTGGTGGAATCGGCTTAACTACAGGTGGAACATAAACTGGTGGCTTGGGTTTTGGAGTGTATTTTGGAGTAGGTGGTGGAATCGGCTTAACTACGGGTGGAACATAAACTGGTGGCTTGGGTTTTGGAGTGTACGTAGGAACAGGTGGTGGAATCGGCTTAATCACAGGTGGAACATAAACCGGTGGTTTGGGCTTTGGTGTATATTTAGGAATAGGTGGGGGAATCGGCTTAATTACTGGTGGAACATACACTGGCGGCTTGGGCTTTGGGGTGTATTTAGGAACAGGTGGTGGAATCGGCTTAATTACTGGTGGAATATACACCGGTGGCGTAGGCTTTGGAGTGTATTTAGGAACGGGTGGTGGAATCGGCTTAATTACAGGTGGAATATAAACCGGTGGCTTGGGTTTTGGAGTGTATTCAGGAACAGGCGGTGGAATCGGTTTGATTACAGGGGGAACAATAACTGGCGGTTTGGGTTTTGGTTTGTAAACTGGAACGGGGGGTGGAAGAGGCTTAACTACAGGTGGAATATAAACTGGTGGGCTCGGTGTGTAAACCGGGGCCGGAGGTGGAACCGACACTACTGGTGGAATATAAACCGGTGGCTTGGTTTCTGGGACTGGAACAGGAGGTGGAATGTAAACAGGTGGTGGAATCGGTTTGACTACAGGGGGGACAATAACTGGTGGCTTGGGTTTTGGTTTGTAAACCGGAACGGGGGGTGGAAGAGGCTTAACAACAGGGGGGATATAGACTGGTGGACTGGGCGTGTATACCGGGACGGGAGGTGGAACCGACACTACCGGTGGAATATAAACCGGTGGCTTGGTTTCTGGGACAGGAACAGGAGGTGGAATGTAAACAGGTGGTGTGGGCTCGGGTTCAGAGACGGGAACCGGTGGTGGGAGTGGATTTTCCTCAGGTGGAGTATCAACAGGAGGTTGGTGTGGGAAAGGGAAGGGGTGGCCAAAGTGCTTCTTCCATGGATCAATATTAGGGAAGGGTGGGAGGCTGGGCAAGGGGGGCAAGTGCTTCTTCCACGGGTCGATTTTCGGGAAGGGCGGGAGGTCGGGCATAGGTGGGAACTTGAAGTATGGCCACAAGAAAGCCGACGTGCAAAGCGCGGTAGAGAACTTAAGATTGCCCGCGGGTTGAAACACCGCTGTGGCAGATGATTTAGCAGCAACAATCTTAGAGGCCTCAATGCCATTGTGGGCAGGGCATGGGGTAGAAGATGCACTATGAAGTTGAGCATAGCATTCCTCCTTTAGTTCCCCATTGTCCTTCATCACCATCTCCTTGGGCAATGAGACATGGAACTTCCCATCTTTATCCATCTCTCCAACTCCTCTGGTTTTCATCTCTCCATTTCCCACCTTGCAATCAACTGTCACGCGAAGCCCTGCACAATATAATCCACCAAATTAAACAATCGTAATAGCAATGATAATAATAACTATATTAGATATAATAATACTACACCCTTGTTTAGAATAACCTACTCTGACTTTTAACTTTTAAGTTTTAAGGTTAACTAAAATTTGTTAACTGTTGATGTCTGTTATGCTAAAATGTTACTCTTCCGTGCAATTAATTTATGATGGCAACTAAAAAAAGTTTACTCTTCCTTGATAAAATATATATACATGAATCTTAATAACTACAGAGTAGAATTTGTATATTGAGAAACTATATTATGAGTTCCATTGAATTGCTCAAGCATCATTTAGAATGATTCAAACTTGCATATTAATACTTCATACTAGAGATTAAAGTAGAGTTAAATTGACTATCTGAGTTGTATATGAGAACTTGAAATCAGGACAATTAGATGTAGTACTCGTGTTACGTTATTACCTAAAAATACTTCTGAAATTTAAATTAGGTTATTACTATCTCCGTCCCGAAAAATCTTGTCATATTGACTTTTGTTAGGCAATATAGCAAACTTTGGAAAATGATTTTAATTTTTTATATAATTTTCAAATTTAAAATAATTTCGTATTAAAAAAATATCATTGTTCAGAGTTGATTGTCATTGCTCAATAAAAGTTTTTAGGGAATACTTTTTATAGTCTATTTGCATGAGATTGTAAAGCATACTGCTCTAAATAAAAAGTCAAATACGGATATTAAACTATTGATGTCATAACTTCTTTAAAAAGCATTAAACCAAGATTGATGACTTAATATATGTATGTCAACTAGTTGTAGCCTATGCAGCATGGATAGGCAAAAAGGGAAACATGAAATGTGGAAACATCAAATTCAAACTAAAGACAACAATGTCAGTAAAAATATCCTTAGAGAATCCTTGAGGTTTCCCAAGTTAATTAAATTCAGAAATGACAAAACAACCCCAACAAACTACCCAACATACTATCCTCCGTATCGCATTAGTTGCAACATTGGAATATATACACTGTTCATGTACTTTACTTTGACTTCATTTTATTCATTAATGTATGTGAATTATTTTTTTAAAAAATTATTGTTAAATTCGTCTCAATACTAAGTTTTATAATCTGATTTTTATTTTATTTTTACTAATACGGGATTAAATATAATGACGGTCAAAGTTGTGCGTTGGCAAACGTGAAAAAGGGAATGTTGCAACTAAAAAAGAACAGAGGAAGTATATAGTAACTGTGTAGCATCTAGTATGCATGTAATTTATAAGTATACCTGAAAAAGCATGACTGCTCTGAATGTTATAGTCCTTGCAGTCAGAACATTCTCCGAACCCAACAACATGGACGGTCGTCTTATCATCGCCATAACAACAACCGAGGAGCAAGAAGGATCCGAGGAGGAGGAGGAGCGGGAGGAGGAATGGTCCGGCGCCCCTGCGCCGCAGGGATGGATGGAAATCCCCCATTAGAGGTAGTAGCATGGTCGGGCAGGCAGGCAAGCTAAGCCTGCATGGAATGTGGGCTTGGGTGGGTGATGGAGCTAGTCAGTGTTTGGATGGGTGATATATATACAGAAACATGCATAACATTAAATGATATGATCTGGAGGATGATATGTGCATGGAGCTAGCTAGAGTTGCTTCAAATCTGTATCTATTCAATTGTGTGAAACGCTCACCGACACTACTACCCACTTTTATTTAAAGTGGTCTCATTAGGGTAGGTTTGTTGATGATCATTATTTATTACTGATGACACAGATATAATTTTTGTATGTATATATAAGTTATGCAATTATCAAATCATGTTTATGTATGGAATATGGATATCATGATGATGGGGTTGGAGTTATTTTTATGATAAAAATCTTGAAAGTGATTCATTCATACTGTAGATGAACCTGCTAGCTAGGATATATATCATGTGATGATGATGATGATGAAGGTAAGATGAGGGACCATGGATGGTATGTATGAATGCCATTAGAGGATAATAAATGAGGTTTCAACGGCCCTTCAATTCTAAATCTGCAAACCTACTAACTTACCATCCCATCCCGGCCTCATTAATACAGCGGTTTAACTAATTTTATTAAGCCATTGCATGTGCTTACGTTGTAGCAGGCCAGGTTAGTTAAACTTCAATACACGTACCACTGGCTAAGTAGCTAGCTAGATTGTTCAAAAAAAAAGTAGCTAGCTAGATTAAAATATAGATAGTATTTATATGTAAAAGATGTACAAGTATATGGGTATGTTTGTCAAATGGCTTATCAGCCAGCTTTTAGCTTGTTTGACCCATTTCAACTGTTTGATAAGTCAAAGAAGCTAATAATAATGTTTGGTAAATGGCTTTTAAAATTAGCTTGTTGAGTTTGAAAAGCTGAAAAAATGGATTGTGGAAGAAGCTAAGGGGAGCAGCTTCTTCATTTGGCTGGTTCAATTTACACTCTATCAGCCATTTCGAAAGAGCCAATTTTACCAAACAGTTATTTATAATCAGCCAACATAACCAGTCGCTCAAAACAGCTAACACAACCAGCTGTTGCGAAACAGCTGACACAACCAGCTACCAGCAACAGCTAACAACCATTTACCAAACAAGGCCTATATCTCACAATATTTATTGCGGGTCAAATATGAATAATTTAAATAATACTCTCCGCGTCCCTTAACATTCTGCCAAGTTTGATCGGCACAGGGATTAATAAAATAAAAACTGTGTGGTTGAGGCTTGTGCAGAGAGAAAATTAACTAGAACTACAAATTCTTTACCTAAAATGGAAAGTAACAAAGTTAGTGAGACATCAAAAAAAGAAAGTTGACAGAGTTTTAAGGGACGGAAGGGTATAAGGGAGTAATAAATGATGGCATAATGATTTTGATCGATCATATGTACCGTATGTATACTCGCATTTATTTGTGAGGGACCCTAACGCTCACCGTAATATTAATGTTCTCTTGTAGTATAGTCATCATTGGGATTGGAGCACAAAGTCATACTGGGTACGAATTTTTCAATTGAAATTTTCTGGTCTAATCTGATGAATATCTTTTCAATGTGTATTTTAGATCAAACTGTCAATGCAAAGTCCGGTGTAATATATATTTTCTGTTTAAGTATGATACAATCTCGAATTGAAACAAGCCTAATTAAAAACAAGTATATAGATTTCAGATTGTCTACTACAATGAGTCACACCATCCATTTAGAACACCTAGTCTTAATACGATTAGTTTCATGATACACTCCTTGTGTCACAATATTTGACCAAATTTGACCGATAAGTTAAAAAATAAAGCCATACTCAAAATTTGTGCTAGTCAAGGAAAACATTAACATTAGAAAGATGATGAGATTTTTTTTGGACATCCAAACTTAATACAGAGTACGGAGTAACAAAAATTGATAAAGTTTAGTGATATGTGTCTTGTTTTTGCAAAGATCAAGAAAATAATATCAATCATAAATAAATACATTCCTTGTATATTGTTTTTATCATCATTTATTCATTTTCATCTAGGACTAAATTATTTATTCTTTCATTTTAGATTTTTTTTTGGATATACACGTATTCATTTTCACATTTAAACAAATTGCGACCACAAATTCAACTTATTTATGACTCTGTCAAGACAAAAGTAGACAAAAACAAAAGTGGCCAGAGTAGATGAGTATTTGTGCTGCCTAAATTATTACCCATTTGCATCTCCGATCCAAAAACGTCAATGGTACATACGTGGGCATGAGAGATAGTCAATTATAAAGTATTAAGTAGAATATCTCTCTTTTTCTTCTCACGGCCTTATATGTTTTTGGTAAGTTTTTTTCAAGAATGTAGACTGCAATGTCTACATCTAGACATTGTGTTTGACATTGTCGATCTGTCATGCCACGTATTTACGTTTTTGCATTGGAGATTAGTACAACTTACTCCGTATTAGACTTTTTGCCGATAAACCTAATAACTGTTTGAATATTCGTAACGTCATCATAATATTAGGATTTTTTGTTTGCGCTTCAGGTGCATTTTTTATCTAGTGTCTAACTATATACAGAGTACATTCTTATTATGTTTGGTTGGTCCAAAAGATGGAATCTCCCACCCCAGAAGCCCCCCACCCGACCCGACAGGATGGTGGGGAGGTTAATCACGGCAACTCAGTCAACAAAGCGGCGGTAGGTCTTATACACGTGCGCCCAGAGGTCCAACCTTATTTCAAGTTCTGTAACCTCCACACGGCCGATGCGGGTTTCGAACATTGGTCACTTGATCCAATTTTCACACCACTCAACCAACTGAGCTACCTGTGCGGATTACATTCTAATTACATATTAATACATGAGGTTTACCTTATTTAATCTTGTGTCAGCCTCGTAACCTATATTTAGTTTTATACTACATCCGTCCAATTTTAGTTAACCAACATTGACTTTCCCAATCAATGATGGTAAACTTGGACCAATCGTTTAACTAATATGCTTTTGCGAATTTTATAAATTTTATATTTTTTTGAAAGGAAAACACTTACATTAAATTCATAGAAACAAACATCTCAACCAACCACAATAAACCAAGTCTTCCCTCTAAACTCGGTATAGCCAACATGTCCCCTCTCTCTGATCAGACACAGAATAGACCACTCAATAATGAATGACACTAATGCTGAACATGTGAGAGATTCGAAGTTTTTAACGGCTAAACTAGCCTGATCGCTTCCAACTGCAGCGGCACCTCGTCTTCATCATAGGCACGTTCTAGTTCAAATCCATTGTTCGATCCCCTTTCCTGTCCCAAGAATAAATCGTCCCTCGCCCTGCCACCTTCTGAGTTTGCCTGAAATTCATCGTCTCGGGTCTGCACATCGCCGCCGCCTTCGCATTTCATCCCTTCTAGACTCGTTCGACCATTCGATGATTCGATGTGGTTGTCTACCCCTTTTCTCTCTTGTCGTCTCTGTGTCTTTGAAGCTGCCGGAGTTAGTGGACAAGTCCAATGCCGGAAAAAACTGCTCAAAAACCCTAGGAGAACCTCGAGATCGCCCGCGCTACAATCGATAAAGTATAAGTTTTTTACTTTATGATAGTATATTTAACAAAGAACATTTTCATATCATTTTCATATAATAAATACTTACATATAAAATATATTATCAAGTAAACTTTAGCATCATTAACCGAAAAAGTCAATATTGGCTAACTAAAATGGAACATGGAGGAGTAGATTTATTATTATGTGCCCGTTTGGTGACTGTGGTTTTCAGCTTATCAGGCTTATCAACCAACTTGTTAACCAAACACATAACTTTTGATTTTGCGCGCTGAATTGTGTAATAATAAGAAAAAGTTAGTCTGGAGTTACTTTTCTGGCGGTATTGGCTGAAATTACCATTGATGACCATTTTAGCTAATTTTTCATATAATTTTTTTCTATATTTTATTAATATAATATATTTTAAATATAAGTTTTTTGATAAATCAGTAGAAACAACCAATACAGCCACTTCAGTCAGAACTTCATAAATTTGAGCAGAATTAGCCGATTCAGCCGATTTCAGTGTTACCAAACGGACTATATGATTCAAATTTTGGTTTTGAGATATGGGTTACCATTAATTTGCTATTCTCAAATTACCAAATCCCAATGTCTCATTTTTCATTTTTAGTTGTATCAAAATAAGTGTCTCACTTCCATATTAGGAAATAAATTCACTCCAAAAGTAGCTACAGTACACTTTAATAAAGTAAAAAATACTGCTACAATACCAAAAATCTCATACTCCCATCAGTCCCATGTGTCTTAAAACATTGCCAAGTTTGATAGACACGATAATTAATAAAGTAACAAATGTGTGGTTGAGGTTTGTGCATAGGAGAGATAATTAACTGGAATCACAAATTCTTTACTTAAAAAGAAAGTGACAAAGTTAGCGAAACATTCAAAAAGGAAAGTCGACAAAGTTTTAATGGACAGAAGGATTATTTTTTGAAAAAATATGTATTAGTAAATCTATAAATTATCTTAAACTAAGTGATAAGCTTATTGGGACATTTATTTTAGTACGAGGGAGTAGGCCAAATTACCAAATTGGCAAAAACAAACGGGGTGTTTTACCAATTCAAATTGTTAAAAAAACCTCTTGAGTCATATTGCTAAAAAAAGAAACCCAAGTGACATTTTTAGTCCTGAACTTTTCATGACAAAATCAAAGTTGAAGAACAATGTCAATTTCACAATACTTAAAACATGAAATGTCAGGAATTCTAAATCGAGGACAAAAAATGTCTCATTCATAAAAAATTGATCAATTTGTCGCTTGGGCTACTTTTTTTTGGTAAATATAACTCAAGAGCTTTTTTTTTTACCAATTTGGCAAAACACCCAGATTTTTTTTACTAATTTGGTAATTTGGCCCGAGGTAGTACTACAAGTGTATGCAACTGAAAGCGTCATGCATGTAAGGTAAATAATTAGTGTATATACATAAACAGCATTGACATTTCGCAGTAGCTTAGGTAGTT